CAGGGTCTCACATTGGCTAGGCAGGTGCCCTACAACTTGAGCCACTCCACCAGTCCCAGACACCATGTCAATTAAGGTGATGTGTCTACAAGGCAAGAGACTTGGAACATTGCCAGCAGCCACCAGCAGCTGGAAGAGGCAAAGGATTTTTCAGTAGTCTTCAGAGGGAGTATGGCCCTGGCAACACCTTGATTTCAGACTTCCAGCCTGCACAGCTGTGAGATAATAAATTCTTGTTGTTTTAAGTCACTCAGCTTGTGGTACTTTGTTACAACAACCTTGACAAATGAGTACACCTCCTTCCTGTGATACAGAAGAGGAGTGACTTAAAAACATTGGGGATCCCAGGGGTGCTACTGCTAAAATGTAGACTTTCAGGGCATACTCAAGGCAGAGGAGAAGGATGAAGAGAACATGCATTGTTTGACATTTACTTCATTTTGGGCTCTGTGCCAGCCATCTCACATACAGGATCTCTATCATTCCCCAGTTAAATGTAGCCATTTCCATTTCACAAATGATGAAACTGAGGCTCAGAGATTTGCCCCAAAGCTTATTTTCCCCCTGCCCCTAGATACCGTACAAGGAATAAACCAGATCCCAGGGGGGTAGGTTACTCACTTCCCTACTCTGAGCCTCTCTTTCCTCATCCAGAAAGTGGGAATAACTATCTCTCAGGTTGTTGTAAGGATGAAATGACTTCATACCTTCATTTGCCATGCATTTACTGAAGGGCTCCTTTATTCCAGCCCCTCCTCTGGGCCCTGGACACACAGCAGTGAAGAGGGTGGCCCAAGTTCTTGCTCCCAAGGAGCCAGATTCTTGGTCAGGTGCTCAGCAGGACCCAGCACTTACTAAGTGCGTGATGGAACTTGTGGGGGTAAGAACATAGGATTAAATGGAATGGTGTGTGGACTGACTTGGCCTGTGAGATGAACTCCCTCTGGCTCTGGTTCTTTGTTGCTGTTGGTGGTGGCACAGCCCCCTGGCCAAGGAAGGCACAAGGTCCTTTGGACCCTAACCTCATGTTCTTGGCCACCCAACAGTGACTGTTCCCAGCTGCCTCCCCAAAGTCAGCACAACTCTGTGCCCCAGGCATAGTCTGTGGAAGCAACCAAAGGGGCTTTGGTTCTCCATGCTGTACTGTCCCCTCTGCCATGCCTCCCCAGCTCAGCCCCACCTACTTCCAGACACTATCCCTGCCTGGGCCAGGCCTGAGCCTGCCCTGGAGTTGCTCCCAGCTGTCCTGATATCCCCTCTGGCTTCTGCAGACACTCCCTCCGTCTGCCCCTGGAGGCCTCCTCCTGGCACTAGCCCCTCCCCCACTTCCAGAGACATCCCCAGACAACACACCCATGCTCTTCTTTTTCCCTGACAACTGTGGCACCAAATGTCAACCAGACTCTGCTCCACAAAGAAGGGTGGGGTTCTTGATAACTGTATGGTTTAGGAGTGGGTCCTCTCAAGCCCCCAGAAGTGGCCAGGAATGCTTGGATCATTGGAGGTTCCTCCCAGACCTCTGCTTCTCTGAGCCTGTGGAGGGGAGGCGACTCACTGCTTTTACAGGGCAGGAGGATGAGGATCAGGGGAGACTGACAAACTCTGTGTGAGTGGTAGCTACTAACCCTGAGAGCTGACTCTCTTCTAGGTGGGCTCTGGTTGTGGAGTGGTGGGGTACAGAGCAGCTATGTGCAGACTTCAGAGCAGCCTGTCCTCCTGTCCTCACTTGCCCTGAGTGAGCCGGGAGAGCTGGCAGAGAGCACTGGGACTGGGCTCTGGCGGGCCCTGACAGCTCAGCAGTGGCAGCAGCAGTGGTGGCAGGGGCTATTCTGAGAGCTAGGAGGGGCAGGGAGCTGGGAAGGGAGGAGGGGAAGCAGCTGGGAGGAGACCGTCCTTGAGGGGCAGGAGGAAGTCCCATAGCAGGGATGGGGGTGTCTGCCAAGGCACATACACTGGGAGATCTGTGTGGTGTGCGCTCATCATGGGAGGGGTAGACCAGTGGAGGTATCCAGGAGTGTGTTGTTTGGGTACACGTGTACAAGTTTTGTGATCCAAGTAAGGGTCAACTGAGAAAACACACAAAGTAAGTGTGTGAGCCAGTGAGTGTGTATGCTTAAGTGTGCTCAGGAAGGTGTGGAAGAAAGCACACCTGTGTGTGGAAGGAGGAAGAATGGAAGAGTAAGCAAGTGGGAGCTTGTTGGGGAGCAAGAATGAATGTGGGGGTGAGTGGCAGGGAGCAGACACAGGAGCTGGAGAGCATGAATGGAGGAGGGGAGTGTGGGAGCCCGGAATCAAGACAACTGTGAGAAGGATGCAGTTGTGTAACTGACACTTGAATGTAGGGCACATGGCAAGTGTACATGTGAGAGAGCTAGTGTGTGTGAGTGAGTGCAAGTGTGTGCATGGCAGAAGCAGGTTGGAGCTGTGTGCTTTGGGAAGAGTAGGAAGGGAAGATACAAATGAACAACAGTAACAAAAACAGCTAGCATTTACAGAGCACTTCCTTTGAGCTGCTGCCATTCAGAATTGTTTCATTCTTCAAATGTCCTGTGAAGGCAGTGCTATCGTGACACCCACTCACTGAAAGAGTAGCAAACAGTGACTTTGAGCAGCTAAGTAACTTACCCATACTCTTAATCACAGTTAGACTGCCTCCTGATGAATGTGTGAGCAGGGGCCAAATTAGAGTGAAAAAGACTGTCAGTGTGTACCAGTGGGTGTGTTGAGTATGTGTGGTGCAGGCAGAGTGTGCCACGCATGGGCCCCAGAGGAGAGGCCAGGCAGGTTGTGGACACTGGGCAGGGGCTGAGCAGAGCCTGAGTCAGCCTCTGGGCATCACTGCCAAACTGGCTTCCCAGCCCTATGGCAGCAGCCTGTGCCAGTGCCCCCAGCTAAGTATCCTCCAGCCCTGGTATGGCCCCCAGCAAGGTCCCATCTCTTTCTCAGAGCAGGGCCCAGGCTTGAGACTGACAGGAGGCTTGCCCAAGGGACAGCCTCCAGTGTGGGTCCCCCAGGCAAGGAGGCATCTGAGAACTGTGAGAGGGGGTCAGGCAGTGATTTCAGCCCCTTGTGGTTCTAAACAGAACCACCTGGAGGGTGTGCGTGTGTAGGGGGCAGCCAACAACAGTTCCCATGCCCACCCTTGCCTTTGGGATGTGACTCAGGCAGATGCCATGCCAGGCATCTGCAAGCTGGGCCTGCTCCCACCCAGGGTTGGGGGGGAGGAGAGGCAGGCGCCTCCAGCCCTGCCCCCACTCCCATCCTCACCCTTGGCCCTACTCACCAGATCCTAAGCTAGAAAGAAGGAAGTTTTGAGAGAGGATTGCTGTTTCCCTTGCCTGGGACGCAGTCCTCCCACTACCCAGAGAAGTCTGCATCTCCAACTCCTCCAGGAGCCAGGTACTGGCTGGGAGGAGCTTAAGAGCTTGGAATTCTAGTCTGAGACATGCTATTTGGGCCTCAGTTTCCTAACTGGCAAACAGGAACATCGTGCTAAAGGTATAAAGTGTTGTTGGCAGGGCAGCAAGTAGTGCAGGCAAGCAGGGAACAGAGGCATGTGTGGGAGTTGGGGTTAGAGAAGGTGTCAGGGTTAAGTTGACATTTGAGCTAAGTGAAGAGTGGGAGACCCTCTGGTGAGGGCTTTGAGGATGGGAATGGGTGTTATAAGCATACAGCATACCCTGAGAGAAGGCTGGCAGATGCAGTGGTGGCTGGAAACATAACCTTGCACCCTGTGGGATGAGGTAATGGACTGCCCAATCACTCAGCTAGTGGCTCTCTTCTAGGTCACGTGATGATCTGATTAGCATCTGAGTCCTCCACTAGTCTATACAGTAGGGACCTCATTTGTCTCAGTTGCTGCTCTTGCCATAGTGCCTTGGACAGTACTGGGTGCATCAAAGGTGCTCAATAAATACCCATTAAATGAAGGAGAAGCTTTTCTCAAAATACTCTGAACTTCAGGATAAGCACTTGCTCCAACAGCCCTTTGAGAAGCTCCCACAGACTCTTAAGACAATGATTTGCAAAGTATGGTCCCTGGTGCATCACCTAGGAGCTTGTTAGAAATGCAAAGTCTCGGCCCCAACCCAGATTTGCCAGATCAGAAGCTAGGGGCCTGGGGCCCAGAGATCTGTTTTAACGAGGATAATTCTGCTACAAATTGAGCTTTGAGAACCAAAGCTCTAAAACTGTGCCTACAGGCACCATAAGAGCCCATGCAGACCCCATTTGCAGATAGAGAAGCCAGGATTGTGGCAGAGACTGGCCTAGAACCCAGATATTCTCAAACCATTCGTTTTTCCCAGACCAGTTCAGGGCACAAAGAGAGAGTTAGGTCATCCACCCGCTCAGCTTTTTGGAAGGGATTTGGAAAGGACTTGGAAACATCAAGGGTCTAGAAAAAGAGGGCGGGGCCTTCCTCCGGGAGGGTGCGGAAGGCGGGGCCAGTGCGCTGAGTCCCGCCCCTCTCCCGTTGCCCCGGGAAACCCCGGGTTGTAACAATAACCCGCTGACGCGCTTCGGGGAGGGATCTTTTCGAGTCTGTGGGACGACCGGTCCTGCCGCGGACCAATGGAAGCACTCGGGCTCCGCCCCCACGTCCCCTCCTCAAGCACCGAGCAGGAGGCGGGGTCGCGTCCTCCTCTTCTCCCCCGCTCCGTAGGCGGCGCTGTGGCGTGCAAGGGCTGCGGTGGGGTCGCCCCGGGCTGGGAGCTCCACGCCCCCGCCCCAGCCTGCAGGCGGGGCACCCGGCAGGCCGAGGATTCCGCGGCCGCGGGCGAGCACGCCCCGCCCCCTCCCGCGCCGGGCCCGCCCCCTCCCTGTCCCCCGCCCATTCCGAGGTGCAGCCGGCGCTGAGCGCGGCAGGCGCGGGAGCTGGTGCTGGAGCCGGAGCGGCGGCGGCGGCATTCACCGGGCGGCGGCGGCGCGGGCTCCGGCACGGGCTCGGGCTCCGGCATGGTGCAATCCGGCGTCGTCCCGGGAGAGCGGGGCCCGCGCGCGGGACCGGCGCCCAGGGAGCGGCGGCAGCGGCGGTGGCGGTGGTGGCTGCAGGCGCAGGCAGGCGGCAGGTGCTAGAAGCCGGGCTGGGCGAGGTGTGTACCCGCTGGGTTCCCGGGCCGCCGCCCCCTCACTGCCAGGGTCTTTCCCTCTTTTCGTGCTCCCCAGCGCGTCCAGCCTGCTGCCTCCGCGCCTCGGCCCATGGCGCCCCGCGGTTGAGCCGGCGCCGCCAGGGACCCCTCCCGCGGGCCTCCCCGGGGCACGCAGATCTCGGAGCCGCCCGCCCACCCTCCGCGGAGCCTCCCTCCCCTCCTCGCCCGAGCCGGGCGGGACCATGGCTGCTAAGCTTCGAGCGCATCAGGTGGACGTGGACCCGGACTTTGCACCGCAGAGCCGGCCGCGCTCGTGTACCTGGCCCCTGCCGCAGCCCGACTTGGCGGGCGACGAGGACGGAGCACTGGGCGCAGGGGTGGCTGAGGGTGCCGAGGACTGCGGGCCGGAACGCCGGGCGACGGCCCCGACGATGGCCCCAGCGCCGCCGCTGGGCGCGGAGGTCGGACCGCTGCGGAAAGCCAAGAGCTCCCGGCGGAACGCGTGGGGGAACCTGTCCTACGCCGACCTCATCACCAAAGCCATCGAGAGCGCGCCGGACAAGCGGCTCACGCTCTCACAGATCTACGACTGGATGGTCCGTTACGTGCCCTACTTCAAGGATAAAGGCGATAGCAACAGCTCGGCCGGCTGGAAGGTGGGGGCGTCCGGCTGGGGAGGGGGACTGGGGATGCTGACTGGGGCTTCCAAGGGCTGCTAGGTGCGTCTGGGTTCTAGGCGGGCCGTCGGTAGGAGGGCTCTGGAGCACCCTCAGGGGTCATGGAGTGTGCGCCCAGGGCGTGGGGCCGGTCGGTGGACAGGCGGGGGCGTGCTGGGAGCAGCTGTGTGCGTGCTCCCTCGCTAGGAAGGATGCGGGGTGGGAGGTCTGGTAGGGTAACAAGGGACTGTCGCTATGAAGCGTCCCCGAGGAACATCTCCACCCCATCCTTGGGGGCATAGCAGAGGAACCCATTCCCAGGCTATGGACATTGGAGAGTGCCCCTTGTTCCCCGAGTTTGCTTTGTGTCACTCTTGTTTTACCCTCTCCACCAGGGCACCCTTTTTAAAGAGCTGGAGTCATGACTTGGGGCCACTGGTTGCTTTCCCTCCCAAATCTCTCTACTGCCCTTTCCGGAGGTGGCCCCAGAGTGAGGAGTGCAATGGACCATGGGCCCACAGTTTTCTGGGTGCCTGGAGTTCATCCTGGGGCACCAGTCAGCCTGGGGTGGAGAGTGTGGCAGGGGACCTGAGATGTGAGTTCTCCTTGGGGCAAATGCTGTCCAAGCCTTACCCGAAACAGCGTGTGTGTGTGTGTGTGTGTGTGTGTGTGTGTGTGTGTGTGTGTGTGTCGGGTGGGGGCTGGGGGGGTGATGGCATGTTGGTGGGAGAGTAGGATGTTGAGGGCTTGAGATCTGTTACTGCTCACCCCAGGCTGCCTTTCACCTCCCTGGCTTTTGAGCCCAGATGCATTTAGGGGTTGTGGGGAAGAGCTGGGGTACCCCAAGGAAGCCCCAGTGCCAGGCAGTGGAAAGGGGGGAGCCATCTTGGGAGAAGACAGGGGTGATTTGATTGTGGCCTTCTCTGGCCATCTTGTTGGAAAATGGGGGTAGTTTTGCCTTTGGGGGTGAGGAGATTGGACTGGGGCTTGTGCCTAGGAGGTGAGCTGTCATAATCCCTATGGAAGAGGCACACCTGAATCCAGGGATGGGGCTGTGCCCTGTGGTGCTTGCAGGTCCAAGGGAGGGGGTGTGCCAGTGCAGGAGGTGAGGCTGTGGACATGGACAGCTCCAGATGCCCATAGCAGCCTTGTAAGGATCTGACCTGGGAACCCAAGGTTTTTTGTTGGCAGCTTCTCTGTCTCTCACTGACCACTATGGGGCAGGGACAGTCTGGAAGAGTAGACATGAGTTTCCTTCCCTATCCCCTCTTCAGTCCCCTTGGGCTCAACCCCCACAGAACACAACTTCCTCCCAAATAGGTCCTGTTATTGGGCTTTGCAACCACCTCCCTCCCTGCTCCCCTTGCCCTGGCCCACCTGCCACTCCTTTTTGTAAATGTGATAACTGTCCTCAAGGGCACAAAGTTCCAATGATGCCTCCTTCAGGAAGCCCTTCTTAACCCTTGTTAGCTGGCTTAGAACTCCCCCTTCTCTGGGCCTCTCCATGCCTGCAGTGGATATTAGCCATTTGTGTCCTGTCTCACTTCTCCTCTCTCCCTTTTGAAAACAGCAGCAGTGTCAGGGCCATTCTGTGCCCCCAGCACACAGCATAGATCTTGGCACCAAGCAGTCATCAGTGTGTGCAGAGGAGAGTGAAAAGATGAGTAGATAGTAGAGAGGTTGTGGAGGTCAGGAGAGAACAGTGGGCCAGAGCAGGTCAGGAGGGCTTCTGTGCAGGAGGTGGAGCTCCAGCTGGACTTGGTGGATGAGGAAGAGTGGTGAAAGATGGGAAGAGGGGACTTGAGGCTGGAAGCCAGGAGACAACTGCGGTTCATTGAGCATTTCAGGGCTGAAGTCTGTCAGGCACTTCACATGCATCCTTAATGCTCTCAGCAGTCTGGGAGGTGGGTTTTACTATGACCACTTACAGAGGAGGGCTCTGAAGCCCAGACTGGGGGAATGAACTGCCTAAGGTCAACACTTAAAAGATGGGAAAGCTGGACTCCAATCCAGGTGTGTCACCTTCCAACATCCCACTCAGCCACTGGACTAGGGTCTTGCTGGCAGCAAGTATGAGAAGGGGATGCAAAAGGCTTTTGTGCAGGGGCAGATACAAATCCTAGGATGTGGTGGAACTGAACTTGGAGATAATTTAGTCTTATGAGTTCATTTCTCGGACTGTGAGACTGAAGCTTTGGAGGGTGATGGGTCTCTCCTGAGGCTTCAGTAAGCAGCAGGCCCTGGATCAGGGCCCAAGTCTCGCCTGTCCACTGAATGCAGTTGCCACTGCGCCACACTGCTGGGGACACACTGGTTCTCCCTGTGCCTGGCTCCCACTCCTGGGCTGGGGCACTAGAGAAGGTGCCTTTGACTTGGGCTCCCTTCTAGGCCCTTGCAGAGACCACCCAGGCGCTGGGAATATTGTCCCCTTCCATCCCCCTAGCTCCCTGGGGGGCCTCCTTTCCCTTGCATTCCTGCACCTTCCTTCCCCTTTACCTCTTCCCCCGTTCCCTGGTGGAGGAGCCATCCACAACTCTCAGCTGATCTCGGGTTGACTGTGGCTGAGGTCCACCTCAGGTGCCAGGCCTGGGAAGAAGGCCCATTATGCTTGCCTCCCTCCCTCCCCCACAAAAGTGTTGCTCTTGAATCCCTGGGATGTATGAAAGCCTGCATTCCATAGGGTGGTGGTGGGGTGGGACCAACAGAGAAGGCCTTGGCCCTGCTTTCAGGATGCAGGCACTTCCACACTTAGTCCCTGTGTTTTGAGACAGGAAAGGTTGGGGGTAGGGCAGAGGTTCAGTGAAGGTGGGTAGATATCCTGAAGACCCAGGCAGGTCCTCACAATGGAAGTGGCACTTGATCTGGGCTGTCTCTTGATGGGGAAGAATTTGGGAGATAGTCATTCAGAAGGTGTTGATTGCACACCCAACGGCAGGTGGTAGAATTGTGCATGTTGGATTTGGGGGATGGTTTGAGTATGCCAGGCTGGAACCTAAGGCTCCCAGGCTGGCAGGGAGGTGGCATGGGAAAGGTGGAGTGGGCAAGATGGGAAGGGGATGATGTGCTAGGCTTTTGCCCTGTGGTCTCATCTATGATGTGGGCAGGTAGTCGAGTCACTCTGGACAGTGTTTGGAGAAGGCAGGACCAGCAGCAGGTTCTGGACACACCAGGCCAAGACCTGGAGAAAAAAGGCAGGGTTCAGTGCTAAGAACCCCACCGACGGGACTCATCATGTTCTTCCTGGGGCAGAGGGTCTCAAGCTTGGGATCAGTGCTTGGTCAGGTCTCTCTCTCTTTTACCATGTCCCAAGAGTATGGAAGGAATGTGGAGCCTCCCACTCCCTCTCAGATGCTAACAGCCCCACTTTCCCTTGGCTCTGGACTCCTCCAGGAAGCCTTCCAGGCTGTTCCTAGTCCTGCCATTCCTTCCACTCAGCACTCCTGGAGTTGTTCTGCCTCCTTTTGTGTTTCCTGGCTGCAGGCTCCTTTGGGAGCTCCCAGGCCTGGCCTGGGCGCCTCCCATTCCTGTCCCCAGGCCCTTGGGGGGAGGGGAGAATACAGTGGATGGGGACTTCCTTTCTCCCTCAAGGAGCAGCCTGGCTGTTGAGAGGTGGGATCAGAGACTGGTGTTCCCTCCATCTGGCCCAGGCCCTGTCCCTGGACCTGTAAGTTCCAGGTGGGGCCCCAGGACTGGAAGAAGAGACAGATCTCAGAGGCCAGGAGCAGGGCCCTGCTTTAGACACATAGTGGTTGTGAGTGTAGGGCTCCCCTCTGCCCTCCCCCACCCCCAGCCTGCTTGTCAGGACTCCCTCCTCCTCCTTTGTCCTCGGGGATCCCCAGCCCCAAGGGCTGGTGGGGGTGCAGGAGGAGGCGGTGTGAGCCCGATTGGGGGGTGTCCTCACCCTCCTCACTGCACGAGCGAGGGGCTGGCAGCTGCCCGCCTCCTGGGCACGAGCCCGTGCCAGCCGCTCCTGGCACAGTTGCTGGCACGCCCGGCAGACTCCCACGGCCACCTGCTCACACCCACCCACGAGCGCTGGCGCGCTGCGGGCCCTTCCGGCTTCCCGGGCCTCCCGGCTCCCCTCCTCCGCCGCGGTACCGGAGCCCCCTCCCCAGTCCTCAGCTCCCAGAGGACCACTCGCTCCCCGTGGGCCCCACAGACCCCCGGCCCCCACGCAAGTTGGGGAGCTCTCGAGGCGGGGCCGCCGGGGCCTCGAGGGTAGCCGCGCCACGGGAGAAGGGGGATTGGGAGGCAGACAGACCGACAGACAGGGTGAGGGCCCCCGCCTGCCACCTGGCGCCGCTCCAGCGGGACGATGGCGGGCAGCGCCGTGCCAGGCAGTAATTGCAGACAGACTAATTTAAAGAGATGAGACGGTTATTTTTAACTCGCGTTAAGGTAATGAACAGCGCGGGGGGTTTGCGGGTTCGAAAGTTCAGCACCCCCCAACCCCCACTTTCTGCGGGTGGGCCCCCCCTCTCTGAACGCTCTGAGGGCTTCAGCTTCGGGACTTAGGGGTGCGGGGAAGGGAGGTTGAGGAGCAGGAGGCTCTGGGGGCAGGAGGGCTCAGGACCAGGCACGACTTGCTATGAGCGTGCCCCATCAAATCCTCAAGACCGTATTTCCAACTGGGTTAGAGTCCCTGTTTCCAGGTGGGGAAGTGACTTGCCCGAGGTCACGTACCTAGGAAGTGGCAAACCTAGAGAATGAACCCCCTTCTTACTCTCAAACTCAAGCTTTTTCCATGCCCTTGGGCAGACTGGGTGTGGTAGGGGCTGAAGGGAAAGGACTTGGGTTTGGACTTTGAAAGGCTTGGGGGCTTGTTCCTTGGAGTCCACCTTCTCCTGTCTTTGGGTGGCAGTTGGTGGGTCTGTCTTTGCCTTTTGAGGGCTAAGGGGGATGGAGTGCCTCAACTGTAGGGGGGAGCTTCTCCTCACCTCTCTGCTTCCTTAATCTCCCAGTTGACTCATCCACCCCTCCCTACTCCAGCTATGGATCTG